CTGCTGGTGTTCTGTCTATTGTTGGGAAGGCCAGAGAGAAGAGGCTGGGGACCCTTTGGGGGAAGAAAGTTGCTGCTGCTGCTGCTGCTGCTGCTGCTGTAGTTGCTGCTGCTGCTGCTGCTATGGACAGGCCTAAAAGGCTGAAAGTCCTCCTTGCTTGCCACCCCCCACTCCCCGTCAAACCGCGCACAAAGAGGCCTTAGGGTTTAGGGTTTAGGGTTTAGGGTTTAGGGTTTAGGGTTTAGGGTTTACGAGATTTCGTTTGCTGCGAGTCCCAAACTCCTGAGGGTTTTGTTTTGCTTCAAAAAAGGATAAAGAATTTCAACTCCGTCATCTCTAAGGGCCTGGCGGCCCAAATCCAAGTGCAGCAAATTCGAGGCCAGCTGAACCACCCTGGGGCGCAGCCGCAGTCTTGCTGCGCCCTAGGGTTTAGGGTTTAGGGTTTAGGGTTTAGGGTTTAGGGTCAAGCGCCCAGATTTTAGGGTTTGGGGTTTAGGGTTTAGGGTTTAGGTGGGGGGGTAAGGCTTCAGGGGGTCTAAAGAGGTGAAGGTGCTGCGCGGCCGGCTTTCCGTTGTGAACGGTGCAGACAGACCGTAGCAGCAGCAGCAGCAGCAGCAGCAGCAGCAGCAGCAGCAGCAGCAGCAGCAGCAGCAGCAACTTGTGTCTTACCCCGCGAGGTGATAGGCGTGCATGGAATTGAAGGAAACATCGACATCAGATATATCGAGGGTCTCCAGACTCTAAAGAGCACAAACTCTGACTACACTTAAAGTTTTAGGGTTTAACTTTTAGGGTTTAGGGTTTAGGGTTTAGGGTTTGGCAGCTCCCCAGACCAGGGAACCTGCCGTAGGCCTTGCATTCATATAATCTGCAACTCCCGCGCAGGGCTTAGGGTTTAGGATCTAAAGCCTAGGGCTAGGGTCTAGGGTCTAGGGTCTAGGGTTTAGGGTTTAGGGTTTAGGGTTTAGGGTTTAGGGTTTAGGGTTTAGGGTTTAGGGTTTAGTGGGGGTTTAGGGTTTAGGGTTTAGGGTTTAGGGTTTAGGGTTTAGGGTTTAGGGTTTAGGGTTTAGGGTTTACGCGGTTGCGTTGCTGGAGCGCGGTGGTGATGTGGACGAGGGCGTGGAGGTCGAGTTGGGTGTTTCGGAGTTTGAGGGTTTTGAGGGTTTTGGACTTTTGCAAAAGTGCTGCTGCTGCTTCTCCTCCTTTTCTTTTGAGTTGGTTGAAGCTGAGGTCTAAGTAGCTGAGGCGGGGCAGCAGCAGGAGCTGCTGACACAAACTTGCTGCTGCTGCTTCTTCTATGCAGTTCCCCGCCAGCACCAGCTGCTGCAGCTGCTGCAGCAGCAGCAGCTGCGCCCCAAACACTGCAGCAGCGCCGCTGCCCAGCCAGTTGAAGGCCAAGTTCAGCAGCACAACTTTGGCGCTGCAGCAGCTAGCTGCCTGCAGCAGCAGCTCGAGGTCGGGCTCGGCTAGCCGCTGCAGAAAACCCTCGGGGCGGCTCCCAATGCATTCTATTTTAACCCCTCTTTTAGGGTTTTGCTGCTGCGCCAAATCAGCAGCAGCTAAACTGTCAAACACGAGCCGCTTGGCTTCGCAGCCAGCCAAATCGCAGGCCAGCAAGTACGCCTTCGCCAGCGGCCCGCAGCCCTCTGCTGGCCCCGGAACAGAGGCCTCGCCCATCCTCTACATCTAGGGTTTAGGGTTTAGGGTTTAGGGTTTAGGGTTTAGGGTTTGGGGTTTAGGGGCTAGGAGGGCTCGGCGGCTGAGGGGAGGCCGAGCGGCTGCTCTCGAAAACAGAAATATAAAACAATTCCGGGAGTGCCTTCGCCAGACGGGGCCTCAAAAGCCCCCATTCGTTTCGAATAAAATTTTATTTGAATTAAAATATTTTATATTTGCTTCAAATTAATTCAGTCCGAAGACTTCGAGGAGCTTTCTCAATGCTAATTCGAGTCGGCTCGAGAACCAAAGCACCGGTGCAGCGGCGCGGCCTCCGCTGGAATTTTCCGTGCACGCAGGCCTTAAATACCTTTAATTTTGTTTAATTATTTCAAATATTAAATACTTTTCCCAAAAGGCTTTTTCAATTTTGACTTTCCCTCCATTTTATGGCGTTGAAGGCGGAGCTGCCGCGGCATTCAAGAAAGCGCCGGCGGGTCACCTGCGGCTCCCCACAGCCAACACCGCAGCCGAAACGAAGCAACAGCAACAAATTCCGCAGCTTAATTCAACGAAATGGATCATTTAAAACCACAATTTTAATTTAATTTAATTCAATTTAATTCAGTTTAACTTAATGAAATTTAACTTAATTCAATCAATTGCATTTAGTCCATTTAATGGGCGGGAGGCGAGGTTTCACTCTGCTTTCCGTTTGAGTTTCAGTTTCTGAAACTCGACTCGGCGGTCGATTGGGGCTTCAATTTGAAACCACCGGCAGCGCGAGAGAAACTGCAGTCCTTAAAATTAAAAATAATTTATTTAATTAAACGAAAAATATAAAAATAAACAAAATTAAAAAAGCTCCACTCACGTTGGGCTCTGGCGACGGCCTGGAGCAGTTGGCGTCTAAAGTGTTTGGACAGACTTTGACAGCTTTGAACAGATTCAACCGAGTCACATCTGCGGCTTTCAAGGGTTTAGGGTTTAGGGTTTAGGGTTTAGGGTTTAGGGTTTGAGGCGGTCCCCAAGTGCGGCCAGCTAGGTTCTGCAGGCGCTGCTGCTGCAGCAGCAGAGAGCCGCAGCAGCAGCAGCATCATCCTTAGCAGCAGCTGCTGGCCAGCAGCGAAGCAGCAGCAGCAGCAGCTGCTGCTAAGGGGGCCCCCTGCAGCTTTTTGGCCCGGGGGCCCTTTTGGCGCTGCAGCGCCTTCTGTGGGGCCCCTCAGAAGCTCTTTAAAGTTTCTGTTTTTTCTTTTTATGCTTTAATTCAAAAGTCCGAAATTTTAGTTTTAAAAAGAAGTCTTAGGGGGCCCCCAGGGCCTTCAGTGCTGCTCAAGCATTTCTGTCTTTTAATATCTTTATGTGCGGCACAGAGCAGCAGCAGCAGCAGCAGTATCTGCAGCAGCAGCAGCAGCTGCTGCTGCAGCAGCAGCAGCTGCTGCTGCAGCAGCAGCTGCTGCAGCAGCACTGTTTCACAAACTCTGAAAGGAGCTCGCTGCGCCAGCGCTTACAGGCTTCCACCAGCTGCTGCTGGCAGCTTGCTGGGAAGCAGCGCCACCTACGACCCCATTAATCAGCCTGCTGCTGCTGCTGCTGCTGCTGCTGCTGCTGCTGCTGCTGCTGCTGCTGCTGTAGCTGCTGCGGAGGCTACTGCTGTGCAGCCCCAAGGGGCCCCCAGGGCCTCAAGCCCTGCGAGTTCCGCATTTGGGGGCCCCAAGCTCTGCTTTATGGCCTTTTATTTATTTATTTATTTTTATTTTTTATTTTTAAATTTATTTAAAAAATGAAATTTCTTTTTTGTTTCAAAATGGCCAAAGACAAAATTCGGGGCCTTCGGGCAAATTCCTCTCAGTCTTAAATGCACTTCATCGCGGCGCTCTGCAGCAGCAGAAAAAAAGAAAAATGAGATTTTCTTTTTCAAGTATTTTGGAATTTAATTAATCAAATTAAATTAATTTAATTAATTTAATTAATTAATTTAGTTAAATTAATTAAATTATTTAAATTATTTAATTTAATTAATTTAATTAAGTAAATAACAGCCAGAGGGCCGAACTGCGGAGAACGCAGCGGACGCAGAAGTAAGCAGCGCATGCACAAACTTCAAACACCAACAAACAAATAAAAATAAATAAATAAATAAATAAATAAATAAATAAATAAATAAATAAATAAATAAATAAATAAATAATAAATAATAAATAAATAATAAATAAATAAATAATAAATAAATAATAAATAAATAAATAATAAATAAATAAATAACTCACCGCGGTGGCTGCAGCGAGTTTGTCGCTGATGAGTTTTTTGGCCGCGTCGAACGCGGCGGAAATGTCTTCGTCGAAAATCGTTTTGGACTTTTCGAAATTAATTTTTGAATTTAAATTCGAATTTGAAGTTAAATTCGAATTTAAATTCAAATTTGAAGTCAAATTTGAATTTAAATTCGAATTTAAATTCAAATTTGAACTTAAATTCGAATTTAAATTCAAATTTGAACTTAAATTCGAATTTAAATTCAAATTCAACTTCAAATTAAAAGCTGCAAGTTCAGCCGCTGCAGCAGTCTGCGCGGAAAGCCGCGCCAGCAGCTGCTGCTTCGCCTGCAGCAAAGAAATTAAATAATTTCATTTTAATTATTTATTTAATTTAATTAATTAATTAAATTAATTAATTAAATTAATTAATATAATTAGTTATTTAATTAATTAATTTAATTAATTTAATGAATTTAGTTAACCTTGTTTAATTAATTCTTAATTCATTCTGTTTTTCATTCTGATTATTTAATTCATTTAATTCATTTAATTCATTTAATTCATTTAATTCATTTAATTCATTTAATTCATTTAATTCATTTAATTCATTTAGTTCATTCAATTTTTCATTTTGATCATTCAATTAATTTAATTCACTATATAATCAAAATGAAAAGTTAAATTAATTAGTTTTATTTATTCAAATAAATGGATTGTTTTAAGTTTCCATTGATAACTTGATTAATTAAAATAATTCAAATAATTCAAATAATTCAAATAATTCAAATAATTATTAACTCAGAAAGTTGGAAGAGTTCGTCCGAGTTAATTCTCTGTTGTTTGGATTATTATTTTGAAATAAATGCAGCATTTTGATTTAAGAAAATAAAACAAAAGATTTAAATTAAGTGTTGAAGAAACAAAGCAAAATATAGATTGAAATTAAATATCAAAAGAGTAAAACAAATAAAGATTTAAATTAAATGTTTAAAAGACAAAATAAAGATTTAAATTAAATGTTTAAAAGACAAAATAAAGATTTAAATTAAAGATAAATATTTAAATATTTATTTCTTCCACTTGCCTCTTTAAACTGCTGCTGCAGCTGCTGCTGCTCTTGCTGCTGCGCCTGCAGCAGCGCCAGCAGCTTCTTCGCGATCCGCTGCTGAAGCTTCGTCACTCTAAAATTAAATAAATAAATAAATAAGTAAATAAATAAATAAATAAATAAATAAATAAATAAATAAATAAATAAATTAATAAATTAATTAATTAATTAATTAACTAATTACTAATTAGAAAAACAAAACAAAGCAAAACAAAATAGAACAAAACAAAACAAAACAAAATAAAAAAACAAAATATTTAAAATCAAATAAAATAAAAATAAAATAAAGTAAATAAAATAAAATAAAATAAAATAAATAAAATGAATAAAATAAACAAAAAAAAATAAAATAAATAAAACTGCAAAGTGCTGCTCACGCCCGTCGGGTGTCTTCCAACTTCGCCAATTTTGACTCTTCAACTTTCCGCTTTACGATTTCCTGTTTGAAGACAAAAATGAAACACCAATTTAATTAATTGGATTTAATTTAATTAATTTAATTAATTTAATTAATTAAATTAATTATTAAATTAATTAATTAAATTAATTAATTAAATTAATTAAATTAAATTAAATTAAATTAATTTAATTTAATTAATGATCGGCGGCGCACCAGCAGCTGGGGAATGCTCTCCGCCTCTGGCGCTGCGCGCCACAGCAAATGGCTGCCAATGCTTAGCTGCTGCTGCTGCTGCTGCTGCTGCTGCTGCTGCAGCTGCTGCTGCAGCAGCAGCAGCGCACACTCCTCGGCGTGCTGTGGGTCTGTGGATGAGTTGCTGCTGCGCTGCAGCAGCTGCTGCAGCAGCGTCTCTTGGCTGGAGTGTGCATGCGTTTGGTTTATTTCAGTTTCCTGAAAAAGAAAAATTAAATAATTTTAAATTAATTATTTTATTTATTCTTTTTTTATTTTTGTTCGAAGCAAAAACAGACTTACAAGGCAGGGACTTGTGGCTCTTTCTTCGGACTCCTCCGTGCTGCACTTGTTCCTCCGTCTGCTTCTTTTGCTGCTTTTGTGCTGCTCCTTCTCCTCTTCTGCTGCTGCTGCTGCTGCTGCTGCTGCTGCTGCCTCTTGCTGCTGCTGTGGCTCCTCTGGCGAACCACAGGAAGCTGTGCTGCCGCCTTCGCACCGTTTCTGTGGAGAGTCCAAAAAGCCATTTTTGTTCAATTTGTAGCATTGCTGCTGCTGCTGCTGCTGCTGCTGCGGCTCTTGACTTGCATTGCTGATTAAGTCAGCCTCTTGCTGATCTTGCTCTTCCTGCTGCTGCTGCAGCTGCTGCTGCAGCTGCTGCTGCAGTTGCTGCTGCTGCTGCTGCTGCTCGCCATCACTGGATTCTGAAGGAGCTTCTGCGGCGGTGCTTGCGCCGCGTTTGCGGGCGTCTTCTGCTGCAGCTTCCTGCGCCGGGCTGGAGGTGACCAGTGGTCCACTTGAACTCGAGCTGCGGGCTGTCTGCTGCTGCTGCTGCTGCTGCTGCAGCTGCTGCAGCAGGTGACCACTGGACTTCAAATTCTGTTCCAGCAGCAGCTTCTGCCCCTCTTCGGTGTCGCAGCTCTTCGTCGTCGCCAAACTCACGCGGCGCCACTGAGACAGCTTGGCGGGGGGTGGCAGCGGCGGGAAGTTGAATGGCGGGCGATCTCCGGCCTTTTCTGGGTTAAAACGAAATAAAAAAAGAAAAATATTTCATTTTATTTATTTAAAATATATTTATTCTTTTTTATTTGCATTTGCTCGCGTGTTTCCGGAGTTTCCGGCGCCCGCGCCTCACCCCGGTCAGCCCCCGGTTCATCGCTCGGCCGTTGCGGGGTGAAGACCCGGGCTCTTCTGTCTGTGGAGTTGAGTAAAAAGATGAAATAATAAAAATAAAAAACAAATTTATTTATTTTAATTTATTTACTTTTTTGTTTTTGTTCAGATGTCTCCGCGTTTTCCTCGCCAGCGACTGCGGCAGCGCCCGCGTCGAGATCTGCACTCGGCGAGGCCCCCGCCTGCATGCCCTGGAGGCCAGCGAGTAAATTGGGGGGAAATTTTGGATTTATTTTGAATTATTTGAAATAATTGGAGAGTTTCGGACTTTAGTGGAAGCAAACAGGATTCTTTGTTGCTGCTGCCGCTGCCGCAGCTGCTGCGCCGCCCTGCTGCTGCTGCTGCGTGCTGCTGCTGCTCTGTCCAGCCCCAGCAGCAGCGAAGGCCGCAGCAGCAGCGCCGCCCTTTGCGGCTGCAGCGGCTCTCTGAGTTCGTCGAAGATTCCTTCGAGGAAGTTGAAGTCATATTCTTCCATTTGCTGCAGCGGGGGGCAATGAGCACTTGTAGGCTTCCGTTTTTTCGGATTTAAGAGCTTTTTTCGCTTTTAATTCCAATTTATTTCTTCTATTTGCAACTAACTTCCAGTTTGTGCACTTGCTGCAGCTGCTGCTGCAGCAGCGCTGCTTCTTCCGCGCTGCTGAAGGACAGCTGCACTGTCTCGACACCTTCGAAGAACGCCTCGGGCTGCTGCAGCAGCGCGCGCGGGTCTGCGCCTGCAGCAGCGGAAACGCAGCATTTGTTTGAATTTTTTGTTCAAATGGAGTTTAAATTTAATTAATTTGAATTTAAATTCAAATTTAAATTCAAATTTTAATTCAAATTTCAATTTTAATCGAAATTTCACCCCAACTCACCCTCTGCCGGAAGCTGCAAAAATGCTATCTTCAGAAAACGCCCCTCGCACTCCATGCGGGTAATTGAATACAGCGGAACTGCGCGGCTCTGCAGATCGAATTATTTTGAATTATTTCGAATTATTTTAATTAATTTAATTAATTTAATTAATTTAATTAATTTAATTAATTTAATTAATTTAATTAATTTAATTGTTTTAAATCCTTTGAAGTCTTATCCGCGAAGAAAACCCCAACTGCTCACGCCGCCGTTCTCCCACACGAAGAAAGCCAGGCCGTCGTGCACCACTCGCTCTTTGGGTTTCGGAGTCTGCAGATGGCGCGAAAATGAGAAAAGTTTTTGCAATTTGAAATTAATTTTGGAAAATAAATTAAAGTTTTGCATTTTAAAAACAAATCTGCAAAATAAATCCAACTTGGAGCACTTTCAGGACCCATTGCTGCACCAGTGGACCCCCGAAGCCCCCGCGCCCGCAGCCCACCAGCTCCAGCACCCCCGCGTCGAACGCTGCAGCAGCAGCAGCAGCAGCAGCAGCTGCAGCAGCAGCAGCAGCAGCGCCCCTGGCGCTGCTCCACTGCAGCAAAACCTCCAGCGAAAAGGCCTTCTGCTGCAGCAGCTGCTGCGCCAAGTCCCCCAGCCCCAAAGCGCAGCAGCAAAAGTCAAAGTCCTCCGGGGGCACTGCAGCACGAGGGCGGCGGCCGCGGGCTTCGGGGAAGACAGCGTGGAGGGCCTTGTGGAGAATTTGGCCTGCGGAAGATTTAATTAATTATTTATTTGTTTTATTTGTTTTATTTGTTTTATTTGTTTTATTTATTTTTATTTTGTTTTTGTTTTTCCAGTTTTATTTCACCATAAGTCCCCAGCACTGCGAACGGCAGCCGGCCCCCCAGGCAGGCCGCCAGCTCCTCCAGCTCTGCGTCGACCTGCAGCAAATGATTTAATTCATTTCATTTAATTCAACTTTTCAATTTATTTTTTTTACTTTATTTGACTTCAGTTTATTTTATTTCACTTTATTTGCCTTATTTGCTTCACTTTCACTCTATTAACGCCGCTTCAGCTGCAGCAGAACAGACGCACGCGCTGCGCCAACGCAGCAGCAGCAGCAGCAGCAGCAGCTGCAGCAGCAGCAGCAGCAGCAGCAGCAACTGGTATTCACTGAAGGCCCACCTGACACACGAGGTCGTCCGCGCTCTCCAGCAGCAGCAGAAAAAGCCGCGCAGCAGCAACAGCAGGTTTTTGGAAGGCGAATTTCCTCGCGAGTTCATTTCTTTTCATTTGCACTTCAGCAGCTGCAACAAAAAGCCAAAAGAGAAATTCCATCAAAACTTTTCTCCATTTTCCTCTTCATCTTTTTCCGAATTTAATTCAACTTCAACTGAGGCGGGGGCCACACAGCGCCCCAGCAGCAGCTTTAGCTCAAATTAGGGCCCACCTACTGTGGCTAGCTAGCTGGCTAGCTGACTGGCTAGCTGGCTAGCTAGCTAACTGGCTAGCTGGCTAGCTATCTAGCTAGCTAGCTAGCTAGCTAGCTAGCTGGCTAGCTAGCTAGCTAGCTGGCTGGCTAGCGAAGGCTCACCGTCTGGAGGTGCTAGGCAGCGGCCGAGGCAAAGAAGAGAAATGCGGAGGGAGGCGGAAGCGACTCCTGAAGTGGACATAAAGAAAGAATTAAATGAAAATAAATAAATGAAATTAAATAAAAGAAATTAAATAAAAGAAATTAAAAAATTTAATTCATCTTTTTGCTGCTGCTGCTGCTGCTGCTGCTGCTGCTGCACTTACGGTGAGTCGACTCGCCCAGCAGCACAACAATGCGGTCTCTGTTCTCCTGGACCATTCGGAGCTGCAGCAGAAGCAATAAGTGAGTTGCGGCGCTGCAGCAGAAGACTCCATTTGCTGCTGCTGCTGCAACTGCTGCTGCTGCTCTCCGGCGGCTGGCTAGCCAAGCAGCAGCAGCAGCAGCAGCAGCAGCAGCAGCAGCAGCAGCAGCAGGAAGAGTTGGCCTCACGTAAAGCTTGATGGTGAGCTCCAAGACGGAAGCTGTGACGAAGTCGTCGAAGGCGGAGCACTTGGCGGTGCAGGTTTCGAGCAGGTCCTTTGGGAGTCCGCAGCGGAAATAAACAAAAGAAAAAAGACAAATAAATAAAAATAAAAATAAAAATAATAATAATAATAATAAACAGCTACCGCAGCAAGGCCCAGGCTCTCGTCTTGAGCCAGCATTTCTATCAACCCCCCCTCCGGCAAGCCCGCGTTCAGCAGCCGCAGCGCCGCCTGCGCCACCGGCAGCCGGCAGCAGCTCACTGCTGCTGCAGCAATCGA